ATACGAAAAGGGTACATTTTCTGTCAAAATTGGTTCATAAAAGGGGTTGACCCTTGGGTGGACCCTCCGCAAGAGAGATAAGTGTAAGTTAAAAATTCCGTTTAGCGAAACTTTGGAAACCTGGCACCCCATCCTTCCATCGTTTTCCTGTTTTCTTCTTTTGAGCAAGCGACACCGCTCTCAACTCGGATCAAGACAAGTCGCCGTGAGCTCGCTGGCAGGATTTATAAGGGGGAAGTAACACAGCAGAAGTTGCACCCTGGGTGCTAATAATTGGAATCATTATTAGTTACCATCAGCGCGCTTCATAAAAACTACTTAAAGGCATATGTTTCTCGCGATATTTAATCTTTGCACTTATGAAAGACAAATATTAACAATTCAAAGAATAGCCAGGATTTTGGACAGATTAGAAGAACATGTTCCAATAGCAGCTTATGCACCTGTTGATGAAAAAATGATTCAAATGCCAAAGTATAAAGAAATAAAACAATGTTAAGACAATTTCAATGATATTGACTGACTGACTGGTTGATTGATTGATTCTGTATTGCTCAGGAATCTGGCGAACAACCCAATTCGTAGAATAGACAGCAATGCGTTCAGTTCAAATCAAAGGCTGAAATATTTGTAAGTAACTGCATTTTCGTAAAATCATCGGAAATCCTCGGAACAGGTTATTATGACTATTATCATGAAATAATATCCAGTAATTCACAGGCATACATCTTAGCCTTTTGACTAAACGATGACTGCACGATGGAAAGCTTATTTGGTAGTATAGGGTATCTGACCGGAGAGCAGTAGTAGAGCCGGGTTTGATTCCCGACCAGAAGAACCTTTATAGGCATTCCAACCTCGTTCTCAGGGTCGTTTCCTACTCCGTAGCTAGCGGGGGGGCAAGATCTGTTGAGCCAGACACATCAAGTCCGTGGATGGATTTGTTTTCTTTAGACTCAGTTATTTGGATGTTAGTGACTTGCAATTGTTTGCCATTTTCATATTGGAGGTCGATTTTTCGGAGACATATCTCATGACAAGCTGCTGAAAATAGCGTTTCGAAGCCTCCGAATTTGAAATTTTCTGGGGGGGAGATACCCCCAGACCGTCCTACAAGGCTCGTGTGTTCGGCACTCGCGATAATGCCCCCCCTCCCCCGTTACAAAATCCTAGAGAGAGAGAGAGACTATCCTGGCCTTGTCACGTGTCCGATTGACAAGTGAAACATTCGGAAGCGGGCCTTTTATTTCGTTATATGAGAAGAGAGAGAGCGTGGCATTTTATCATTTCTTTCACGACGGTAACGAATGTGTACCAACTTTTAAAATCAAGAACCTATTCCTACTTTTTGAGAGAGGGAGAGTGTCATGAAAGTGAATTCTTGACTGCATATAAACTAAGACGTAAAAAACCTACCAAAGGACCTACCAACTCTCGGGCACTCATCACTCCTATAAATTTTGTTAATGTCTATCTCAATTTACATTCACATTGGGCGGCATTCACAATCCATGTCTTTACTACTTTGCCAACTGCGCGGCAAGCAGCTCGACAAAGTCCGCGACAAGGTGTTGAAAATGTCTCATGATAAACCCTCGGAAGAAAGTGAAAAAATGTAAGAGCAGAACATGATAAGAAGTACATAATGCCACATAGCGTCACTTCATATGGATTTTTCCAAAGAAAAAAATGATGATGTGAGATCTTGGTAGACCAAGTCGGATCGGTAGGGAGCAATACAAAGACATCATGTCACATTGATTACCAAAGCCGTTATCAAAAACACTCGCAGGAGTTACCGTATCGAAATCAAGTTCAGTTCTTGCGGAGGCTGAGATAAACGATAATGACGCTGCAAAAATTTGGAAACAGGCAGATCAACCAATCAACATAGCCTGATGACTTCAAAAAAACACGACAAATAGATTTTGAGGTTCTTGGGCGAATGGGCTCCAACATAGCAGAATTCTCTGCCTCGAAGGATGCTAATGAGCTTCAGGCTGCTTCCTTCAAACCTACCTTCAAATAATAGAAACATGTAATACTCACGGGTAAGAGAACTTTGAAGCCGCGAAAAAAAAAAAAGACATAAAGCATTTCTTGCCAAGTTTACAAACATTGCCGATACTTCCGACGATTTTTCCCACGAGACTACAACTAATGCTTCGTGTACAACCAAGTGACTCTTTATTTTTTCAGAAATCACGTGACTTTGCATACTTTTGTGATTTGTTTTCCAAATTAGGATACGCTGCAAAGCATACCTTTTCTTCGTGACCTATGAATATAATTTTCCATCTATGGAATTTAAAAAAGTGCAAGATGATCACAATTTTTTGTGAAGCTTTGCTTATATTAGTTTTGTACAGGAAAAGCCCAGACCTGAACTGTCCTGTTCAGGGTACTGTAAGGCTATGTCCACATTATTAATTCCGGTTAGCTTTTGCGCCGGTATGAAAACCATATCGGATAGGGCTTCAGGTGATTTCGACGCGATTTCTGTGACGGAGAGATATGGGGTGATATGTACTTTAAATATCTAAATTCAAGTTATCCACCATTTTACTCCAATATTCATGACTAATTTTAATAGTGCATTATAAGATCCACAAAGTAAAGAAATAATTATGCGATTATGATAATAATAACAAAAGAATATCATATGTTATCATAAGCATTGCTATAATTCTCCTTTTTTAAAAAATGTTCTTATAAGATTACTTCGCGAATTCTCGCTAACTGGCTATCAAACTCGTTAGGGAAGTAAACTTTACTTACTTGTATGGTAAAAATTAGATGATAAATCGATATGACACATTACAAAAAACATGCTTTATTTGGGGATTCTTACAGTCTTTCCTCAGCAGGTTCGCGTTTCCCAGATGCACACTAGCTTTGTTTTACTCGACAGGATTTTAATTTCTAATTCAATGGATGTCCTACGACCATATCATTTGCTGGGACCACGTGATCTGGTGGTAGAGTTGTAAGTGATTATGGTTGTTTACCATGAACAAAAAGTTTCCAGAAAATCCGGGTGGAAAGAGAATGGAACTAGAATTTTTGGGTTCCAGCGGAAAATTTCCGGGAGCAGAGGAAAATCTGAAAAGGTAGTCCTGTTTCCTCGGTCGGAACAATCCAGACAGAAATTCGCGTTCCTTTTCTTTGCTGTCATCTTTGATACCGTTTCAGGCCTTCGCGGCCGTTATTCGGTTAGTGGAAACGATTTGTACAAATGGTAAACGCGATTACGGAACGAAATTTACCAGTGCAAAATTTTGTTTACCATATTTCCAAACCTTGACCCATGTAAATGGTAAACAACCCTGATGACTCTTTTCTTTTGTGAAAACTGTTAACATAATTGTGGCATGGTAGATGCTAAAATTATTACAATCTCACACAAATCACGGAGAAAACACCAACTGAAAGAATTTGATTCCCAGAATTGTTGCAAGTTGGGGCACTGCTTGTCGTTTTCTGGTCACAATCAGGACAAAAATGTGCTAAACTTATGTTTGCAAAGGGAAAACACTACTATTTTGATGCCATTAAATGTACAAATTGGAAAAAGTAATATAATATAGATGGGATTTCCTAAAGGGACTGAATTTAACATTTCACCGGCAAATCTGGCACTCGCTAATCTGACTCTACTTTTTGTATTTGCCATGCTACGAATCAAAGTCTGCCCCAGGTTGCTATCAACTGTAATATATGTAAATGACCCAATAGCTCCTTTTCCCAGGCGTCAAAACTAAATCTCTGCCGCCGCTTATCGAAATAATAGATTCGAGGACGAGAACGACTACGAGCGCGAGATTTGATTTAAAGTTTTTTCGCGTATTGTCAAAAAATAGACTCCCCGGAATTCTTCATTGTACTTTTTTTTTTCACCAGAAAAGTTGGTACTGTTATCGTCATTGAAGGAGGTTATGCCCTCTCCCGCTAGCAAAATGATAAAACTTCTTATATTTGATAACTTGTTCCCGCCACTACGACACTCTCGCTAAAACTCGCAGAAGACTGACGACGGCTACCACGTTTTCCCGCCAAAATGACGCTGGCTCACGCGCGAGCACTACTTACTATTGAGAAAATCTCGTACTCGTAGTCGTTCTTATCTCAGAATCTAAAGGTCTCTAATGATTCGTTGACCTCTGCACCTTGGCTGCACAAAAAGTAAAAGCCACGACACGATTTTCTGGCTTAGGCCCTGACGCGATTGTGATGACAATAATGGAAGGCTCATTCATATCACAGAGCGCCATCCAGTGAACCTGTCAGATATGATCTACCTAACGAAGTCAATTTGGAAATTTTGGTATCTACTCCCGGGTTCTCTTGCACTTATGTGGGCAATGAGAATCTCACAACCTGCTTTCCTTGTCCTCTTGGAACATACGGTGGAACTCAAGGCGACTGCATTGCATGCCCAGCAGGTTTGTAATATAAATCACTTACATTAGCTTTTTTCCGTATCGACATGACAAACACAACCCCACAAAAGACAAAAACCATGACAAAGACGGTTTCACTCACGTGGCCAGAAGCTATTCAAATTATACACATTTATGTAATTTATCCAAACATATGTAAATTCATGCAAATTTATTGCGACAAAAGAAAGCATAAGGAACGATGTCGACACCCATAGGACTGGTTTGGGATACCAGCATGACCGCCGTTTTATTTCCATGGGACACCAACATGACGGACGTGACGTTATGTGGAAAGGCTCCATAGATCATGAGAGGTCATAAAAAGCTCGGCAGCTGAAAATCTTTAGCTTTACTTTCCTTTAGATTAATTAGGTATGATTAGGAAGACACGGTCTTTCATCCTCATACAGGCAATTTAACTTCCTCCTAACAAGGATTTTGAAAAACGGTCTAGAAGAAAACATTTGTATATATTCAACAAATGATCACATGCATTGTTTAGGTTCATGATGATTGGTGAAACTTATTAAAAATGCTATATTTAACTGGAGCCGCTCTTTTCCAGGCGGTTTCTATCAAGACGAGTTCGCCTATGCAGGGAAATCAACATACGGTGTAGGGTGTAAACTTTGTCCGTTAGGTCACTATGTATCACAACATGCTGCCCCAGGAAAGGCGACAACAGATTGTATCTTATGTCCACAAGGCAAGTGAAATTAAGAAATGGCTTTAGCACTTATTCGGCAAGTTTGATGGAAATGGTCCTTCACATAACTAATAAACAATCTGTTATGCAGGCGGTTTCAGCATTTGAGTTTTGGGAAAGAATCTCTGGAGACAGGGTAAATGCCATTTAGAAACCCTCTGTCTTTGTTCCTAAAAGAATCCGGTATTTTTAAATTAGAGCCAAATTCATAACGTCGACGTCTCTAAAACCCTACGTTTTGGCTACCCAGATAAAATACGAGAAGAGCCCCCACGAAACTACTCCGCAAAGAGCTCCTACATAAAACTACTCCGGATTGAAAAACGTATACGAACATCTTTCCCCAAAATTACCTGGTTAATATATACCGTTCTAGAGGAGCGGGATTAAGAGGTTACATACCGAAGTTCTCGGCTCACTTCCGTTGTAAACTTCAAGAGTGGAATCATTCGAGTATACGTGCTCGATTAAAGGACTATGAATCCAGTACAGTTAGACAAAATCATTTCGATGCATTTGGTGACAAGAGACAAATTGGAAAAGCTGCAGTTGGCTTCCTTAACTATAAGACCCATACAGAAATGATGACACATTATAACCTCAATCAACAATCAGCAATCAACAGTACGTATTTAAACTGAATATGGTAGGGAGATTGGTATTGGAAAAAATTGTTAGTCATACCCAGAAACGTTGAGGGTGATTCTGATTTTACTATTACTCTCTTTTACAGGAACGGTATATTCAGAATATGCTGGTTTTAAGGGATGCGAGTGTCTTCCCAATTATTATCGGCTAGATCGATTCGGTGCTTGTAAACGATGTCCTTTACGAGGACTAACTTGCCAAAACGAAACAGTGTCGCTTCAGCCTGGCTTCTTCTGGAAATGGTCGTCAAATGAAAGTCTTGGTAACTACCAAAAGTTCTCAGCCGATCTTTTAATAACGGACAGTTCATACCAACAGCCACGATTTCAAGGAACAGTACCACAGGTATACCTGTGTCCATTGTCTAAAGCATGTCTTGGAGGTATGGAATCGAAGTGCTCTAATGGATATGGTGGTCCCCTCTGCGCCGTGTGCAGCAAAGGGTATTACCAGTTGTTGAACCATTGCCGCAAATGCCCTGAAACATTGTGGTTTATTATACAACTGTGTGGAATTGGTATTGTTATAGCCATTCTGACTGCAAGCATCGTTCTGGCAAGAAAGAGAAGATGTCCTTCTGGAAGGACGATGAGCGATATGATACTCGCTCGTCTAAAAATTGTCATTGGTTTTTATCAAGTCACTTCCAGTACCTTGAACACTTTTTCGTACGTGGAATGGCCCGGTGCGCTGTTAACAGTAGTGCAATACGCCAATATTGTACAGTTAAACCTCTTGCAGATTATTCCTTTACAGTGCTTTGTAGACAACGTAACGATGAATGCCTACACGAGATTTCTTGTTATTATGGGTTTAAACATTTCGGTGATACTCTTAGCGATGTTAGTTTACCAGCTTCGAAAACTTGTGCTAATCAACAATACGTCTCTTAGCAGAGATGAATTGGACGAAGCTCTTTCGTACAGCAAAACGCAGATCTATCGAGTCGTCTGTCTCGTGATTTTTGTCGCCTACCCTTGGACATGCGAAGCCATTTTGCATCTTTTGTCCTGCCAGGAGATTTGTTCCACCGGCCAAAGAGATTCATGTCGGTACTTTCTTCGCGCTGATTTCACTGTTCAATGCTTCACCAGTCAGTACAACAAGTACATAATACTAGCTTACACATCGCTTGCCGTGTTCATAGCCTTGCCGGCGGTTACCCTATTCCTGCTATGGAAGTATCACTACAAAAAGATCTTTCCAGAAGGGCAAACCAAAAGTTACCATGGAAACGAAATATCCATTGGTCTCAGTTTCCTCTATGAAAACTATTCCCCAAGGTGTTGGTTCTGGGAACTCATCGAAGTTTCGAGAAGGGTTTGGCTGACTTTGACGATTTTTCTTCTTGAAGCAGAAACGCGAAGCCATCTTGGCGTAGCAGCGATTACGTCCGGAATATATTGCATTCTGGTAGCTTACTACAAGCCCATCAGTGATAAACTCGAGCACTGGCTGCAATTGATCTCACTTCTCGCCACGTTTGTGACCATGAATGTTGGAATGCTCCTAAAAATACCAGCGGAGGAAGCGTATTCGAATGGCCTGGTTCAACTGAGAGACTCTATGTTTGTTTCGGTGGTCCTAGTAGCGGTGAACGTCACCGTCGTTGGACTTATAGTAGGTAAGCAAAAATACAGTACAATAAACGCTTAATGACTAGTTCAGAGGGAAACAGCAAGTATTTGATTCGAGGGAAACAAAAACGATCAGCTTCCCGAAGTGATTAAGTGATTTGTTATATAGCCCACTTTGAGCAACCTCAACGAGCACAAATCTATGAAACTCTCCGCGATATTCGCGGGTTTAAGTGCTTTCATCATTAGGAATCTTGCGAATCTACGACGGCGACGGCGACGGCAACGGGAACGTCAAAAAAGCAATAGGTTTAATGAGCAATTTAACAACTCCGCACGTGCATTACGTTTTTTTGTAAATTTCTTTGCCGTCTCTGCACAACTGGAGCTAACTGGCACGTGAAGTGACCAAATTTTAAGTTTACCTGAGAACGGAAACGGCAAGGCGATAAATTCTACCATCTCTGTCTGAACTCGGGCGCTACCCCCGGCGGCTTCAGCTCCAAGCTAAAAGCTTAATCCCCTTCTTTTAAGTAACAGGGTGACTTGAGATAATCGCGAAATAGTTTGAAAGGATGAGAAGTCTATTTTTCAGGCACGTCTTAATGGACGTCGCCGTTGTCGGATCTTAAGGTCCCTAATTACGACGGCGACGGCTACGAAAAAGTCAGAAAAGCAAAACAACAAACTTTGCATATCATAATTTGCACCTACATCACACTATTTAGTCAGTATATTTCTTTGCCATCATTGGATTACGACGTAAAATCAGTTCCGTTTGAAAAACTTGCAACTCGTGTTTTATCAAGTTAAAAATACTCCTGCTGATTAACAGTTGCAGTTGCAACGCGTTTTCTCTATTTATCTCTATTTTAGTGCACTGTACAGTTACCTTGATCAAAGCAGTTAATCAACTGAGAAAAAACACACACTGTGGCGTCCAGTGTTGCGTTGCGTTCATGACTCAGATGCTTGGAGCTGGAGAACACGATGCTGACTTTGAGCCAGGAGAGATTTCGAATGCAACTGTATTCCAACCTACTTAATAGTCAGTGGATGTGCCAATAATTGTGCNATTTCTTTGCCATCATTGGATTACGACGTAAAATCAGTTCCGTTTGAAAAACTTGCAACTCGTGTTTTATCAAGTTAAAAATACTCCTGCTGATTAACAGTTGCAGTTGCAACGCGTTTTCTCTATTTATCTCTATTTTAGTGCACTGTACAGTTACCTTGATCAAAGCAGTTAATCAACTGAGAAAAAACACACACTGTGGCGTCCAGTGTTGCGTTGCGTTCATGACTCAGATGCTTGGAGCTGGAGAACACGATGCTGACTTTGAGCCAGGAGAGATTTCGAATGCAACTGTATTCCAACCTACTTAATAGTCAGTGGATGTGCCAATAATTGTGCATATTTGATGCACATTTGCTTATATAATAAATCAATAAACTAGATCAAAATGGTTCATTAGAATAACAGTATAGTAAAGAACCTTGAACATCGAACATGTAGATAATTTCGGACGACAAGAGGAGCCCGCAATCCTAATCTCCAGGTTGTTATTACGCATGCGTCCCGTGTATGTAGCCAGCATTAGTTTGGACTTCCACTAAGAATGTATGGAATGTACGTAACGCAATTTGATCACACGCGTTTGAACCTTCCATCGCTCGTAATTTGATCACGCGTGTTTTGGCTATCTCTCACGTGTAACTTTACGCAAAGCACAGCGCCGGAGCTTGGATCGTTGTCGCCCGCACCTACGCCCGCCCGTAACCTAGTTTGGTTATTACAAGTTTTATCTTTTTAAGTCTTCTTATATAACTTTTCAGTTAGTGGGCCATTTAGTAGGGCCTTGAGGGTTTGGGAAAAAAGCCTGAAGTTGATGTGTTCAGCAACAAGTAGCCAGTGGAGCCCAATAGAAGGATGGGCTTAAAGTGAACGAAAATAAGACATTCTGCAATGGGTCCAAAATGAATGAAAATCAATTCAGCTCGTAAAGTTTGCATTTAAAATGTCACATTCCATGGACAAAATCATCTCATAACAAAATGTTTCAACAGTTCAACAGTTTCGTTTTGTGGGTGTTTCTTCGCTCTCATGGTCACCCCAAGCGCCAAATAAGACGGTCATTCAAAACGATCTTTCAAAAAATATTAACCCAAATGAACCAGATCCCTGCTATTGTCGACAATTTTAGATAATTTTAGCCGTACTTTGAAAGACTGTAAATTAAAAGGACCTGTTTCAGCCCAAAAGTGCCAACTTGTTTAACCCTGCTGGCCAAAGTCTGATTCAGCTTCTCCTGAAGCTATTTGAGCATCATTTAAGCCAAAACAGCCCCAATCAAAAGCCAATTCCAGCCCACGCTGGGACTCATTTCGGCCGGTGGATCCAAATCACAGCTAGGTCTGTATTGGCCCCGATTAGACCCAAAAACGAAAATGCCCCAATTTTTGAAGCTTTTAGGTGTACAGTGGAAGGGTTATATATAGATCGCTAAAATTGTAGTTCCAAAACAAAATAACCGTTTATGAATGTAGAAGAACACAGAAGAATAAATAAATGCGAAGAAGGAGCACGGGTGTGAAAGTGCAGTTCATAATGATTAGAATCCAATTGCCAATTTGTTAGTAAAAGCTCGCATGTAACGAAAATAAACAAAAATTGCCGTTTTCATGCTAGAGAAGGACATAATCAGTCATCAAAAACTGTCTAAACATTGATGAAGTCAGACGTACAGCAAGCCCAAAATAGAAACAACCCATTTTCAAATTAAATCGGATTATTTGACAGATATAATTATCCGAAAAATACCCTTCTAAGACGGATAATCATCAATCTCTAGAGCGAACATGGAATGTTACTAAAAAGGCGAAAGGGGAGCGGGGAACGAGCACGAGGAACGGGAAAAATGAAAAATGGGAACAAAACCTAACTTGAACCCTGGCACTATCATTATCTTCATTCTCTTCATTTCTAATACTCATTTTTCATTTTCCCGTTCCCTGTGCTCCGAGTAAACGGCCACATATGAAAACACGTGACCTATCACCTATAAAACCCATAACTAATGAATATTTCATATTTTCAGCGCATCCAAATACGGATATTCCATATTAAAACTGTGCTTGCTCCAGAACATTCTCTGATGGATTTTAATTTATTCAGATCAGACTTCTTGGAATGCGATGTAGTATAAGTATATGACTTTTTGCGTGAAACCCATATCGCCGCTTGGTGAACCCGAGTAAACAGCACCCAGCGTGGAGAAGTCCAGCGTAAATAAAAATTATATATTATATAAAAATAATTACAGTATTATTTGATGAAAAAAAAAAAAGAGCTAAAAATTACGTTGCGTAATCGCGACCAGCTGTTACCGATCAGAAAATTTATTGTTATTCTTCACGAAAGAACACGAGGAGTTCTTCAGACGCTTTTCACAACAGTTTACATTCAAAATAGAGTTGCCAAAGAACAAAGTATGCAAACTCGTAAACTGCCATACGATTCACTGTTTGGTTATCTGGTCATGGCTTGAACTACGTACGCCGGTCGGCTAAATGTCCTATCATGGGGCGGTTATCGCCATAATTAATCGCGAAGATTGGCAATATGAAATAAACGTTTTACACTAAGAAAGTATGTCACTATTACGACTTTTAAAAATATATAATAGGCGTGCCAGTCCTATACATGCGATCCACACTCGAAAGTTGGTCGGGTAGACTATACGGAAGCCATGGTCTTGGCCGGCCTGGAGTCTCTTTTAAGCCCCATTTACACGGCCGAAAATTTTTGGCAGGGCTCGGATGAAAAAAGTACGCGTACCAAAAAAATTGGTTCGGCACGGATAGATTTAGTCGTGTAAACGACTTTGCCCCATCCGTGCCGGACCAAAATTTCACCCGTGCTCGGACCATGTCGAGAGGTAGTCCGAGCGCGGATAAAACTGGTACGCGATCGTGAAAATCTAGCCCAGCTCGGATAAAGTGTGCAGTGTAAACGATTAGCCGTGCCGAGCTAACTTTTCTCTGATGAGCCTTCGTGCCTTTGGTCAGCACCAATGTGGGAGAGCATGTACAGATGAGCTTTTTCGTTAGTTCAATATAAACCAAAAGTTCACTAAACACGACAGTAGTTCAATGACCACACGTTAGTTCATTGATGAGCGTGGACAACATGCAGCTGCGGGGGAAATAGCCACAAATACTTTAGAATTTTTTAATATAAATGTGTAGCATCAAGAGATCATTCTCTCTTGGTAGCATTAACTAAGTGGTAAATACTTTTTCGTTGGTTCAGTGTGTTCAATAACCACACAATAATTCAATAACCGCACTAGTATTCAATGACCACCCATTTGTTACTTGTGCGTAGACTACATGCAGCTGTGGGAATTCTAAGAACTTTTCGTCCGCCATGTTTTTACAGAGGAAGCAGCATGCGCACTAGGCAAGAATCGAGTACGCTGGCCGAGATGTTGAGCCTTTTACCCGTACCAAATCATAATTTCACATCGTTTAGCACGGTAGAAAAAAGAACGTGTAAATGAATAATCAGTACTATTTTTTTGGTACGCGTACCACTTTCATCCAAGCCGCGCCAAAAAATTTCTGCCGTGTAAATGGGGCTTAAGTGACAGGAGAGCAGGAGCTTGTAAACGGTTTATGGCTACTGCACGCCAAATGTCCCCCTTAAGAACATCATCCCCTCTCCTGCCGCTGTTGAGTCTCATTACAGTATAAGGGTCCAACTTCCAAGAAATCAACATGGTCATACCAGAAGAATTAATGACTTTGTAACTTATAAATTTCAGTGAATGTATGTAACTGGTTAATTGTATGTGGCAATGACCTTCCCCAACAATTCAGTTATTGCTGCAAGTGGGTGAAATAAACAGAATATCTATCATCTTTTAAAGTGAATCGTGTTTTTAACGCTTGTCTGCAAGGAGTTTCGAGCGCTTTTTACGCCAATGCAATGCCGAAGACAGCGCAGGGTTAATAGTCAACTCCGTTACGTAGGAGAATCATCGGAGCTGACACGGTTCTTTTTAAAGTCGTTTCACTAGAATCGATAGGAGTAAGTTCTAACATTTTCGGAAAATTACACGATACTGATCTTTTCAGACGAACAAGGTTCTCTACTTTTTGTATCTGTTCATTATCTTTCATGGTACCACGCACCTCTTTTTGTCTGGTGAATCGCACTACGTACCCTGTATTCTTTGCTTTAGGTTTTTTAATCTTCAGAATCTCGAGCACGGCGTTCCTAAAACGGCAGTCCCTGTAGCAGTAAATGAGTGGATTAACCACAGAATTTGAAAGCACCAGTGCCTCCGCTATTCGCCATGATGACATTTTATGAAGAATGGGAAAAACCTCAGCCAGAAAAGCGACAGAAACAACAGGAACGAAGGAAAGAATCAGTGCCGCTGTAACCAAAGCAGTAGTCTTAGCAACCCTGTTGTCGATTTTCATTGTCATTAACTGGCTGACCTGAGGAATAATTTTATTGAATTTGCGTTTGCGAACTTCACGGTATATCATGACGTAAAAATATACGATGAGTACTAGAATACAAAGTATTGAAACAGCTGGAATGGTGAACATAATCTGTTGGACGATATTATTCTCATCCCCACCGACCGCTATAACAATGAGGTTTGGGCTCAATACGAATACTGTTGCTGAAATCCGTGCTATCGTTGCCAGCTTTTGCAAGCGGCCTTTAGTCACTATAACTCTGTAATCCCTCCATTTTCGAATGGCCACGTACCTCTCCCATGCAACCAGTGCCAGGTGGAAAAGCGAACAAAATGTCAGAGTGAAGGTGGACAAGGAAGTTACCTCATCTAACGTGCAAATATTTTGTTCAGTCAGTATTTGATAGACAAGAAAGAATCCTTCTAAAGCAGACAACGGCACACATATACCACCGCCTACAAGGTCCGTAACGGCCAGACTTAACAACAGAATATTGGAAAGTTTCTGCAATTCTTTCCTTTTCTTTACTGCTATGATTACTGACGCGTTTAAAAGAACTGCAGCAGGTGAGATTATAGAAGCGAAAGAGGCCACAACCCAAGGCGAAATGGTATCACTCACCTCCCATACTAATTGTGGACCACGTGGACACTAAAACGTTGACCTGTTTGTATTTGAGAAGACGGTGGCTGTTTCGGTCTCTTTGTGGTCCATGATGATGAAACGCCCTCTGGAGTTAACTCTCTGCTTTCTTTACGCTGTCGAACGATCCGCTTCACAGCCTTCCTCAGGCTTCTAGTGATTTTAAAAGGGTGAAATTCTATTATAAAATTTTCCCAACATTATCAATGAATAGGCACTGAATGTGAATTTGTGATGATCAATAACGAACCGGAAAGAAGACAAGAAGAACCAATTAAAACAGGATGCGCGAAGGAACCCAGAGGATGCTGTTAAAATTGACGTGGGCTTTCGTACCGCTGAAATTTCCGATTAAATGCAGCCGGGATAATGAACTATACGTGTAATTGTCTGTTAACATGTTTGTTTGAATATTAACCCTATTTTGTCCAACATAAGAAATTACAGGTAATTGTCGGTCAAGTTCGTTTGCTTCTGAGTTTTTTTTTAATTTGACTCACACTGCCATGACAGTGAATGTGAGTGTTATCACTAAATAATACGTCATTGTTGCTCAAAAGGAATTGCTAGGAAATTATACACAAGAGTACAATCAGATTCACATGCTTCCCTAACTTCACACTTTCTAAGGACGTTTCACAGAAGAGTGGTGTTTTCTTAAAGTGTATATGACACGAAATTTATCAAAATAGGAATTGCTAGGAAATTATACACAAGAGTACAATCAGATTCACATGCTTCCCTAACTTCACACTTTCTAAGGACGTTTCACAGAAGAGTGGTGTTTTCTTAAAGTGTATATGACACGAAATTTATCAAAACTGATTTTGTCTCCAAAAAGATTTCTCGAATTTTGGCCTTCTACAATTACTTTTTAACTGGGTTGCCTCAAAGCACTCCCAGTTCGTAATTCTGGTTGATTCGCTTGTCTCCGCTAAATACAGGCACTGTTAAATATTAACCCAGTTTAACCCAGAAGGCGTTGCGTGTTTTGACAAAGCATGTTTCCCCATTTCAGCCGTGTAAATTCTGCAGCTTCAATTTAAAGTTTGCCTTTTCATTTCTATATTTACTTCTGTTTTATTGATGCAACACGCGCCTTTTTAGAGGTCTAAATTTCGGATAAGGGTACGGACTCGGAGACGGAATTACACATCGAGAATTTCGCACACAAATTCATCTCATAGCCTGCGAAGCTGGCGGTTTGTTTGCTGTTGTTTGGCTTGGCGAGAGGGCAAATGAGCGGTGAAGAGAAAAAGGAAGCAGAGCAAGGTACTTATTAGTGCAAAGTATGGTGACTTGGCATGCCGTCTCACCCCTCCCCACCCTAGAAAAGTTTAAGATCTGAACGCTCTGAAACTCGGCCATTTTTTGCTTTTTTTTCATGAGGTATTTCTTCAGAATAAATCAATCTCGTTCAACTGCTTCACCTTTCCTCTTGCTAGCTGCCCAATCGAATTTTTTGGGAATTATTTTAGCCTTTAGGCCTTTCGCTCCAGTAGTTTTTTTTCTAATATTCTAAAATGAGTCATAGAAAGTCAATATTACTTGTATGTGCACCGCTGCAGGCAAACTGTCTCTTTATTCTGATCAGTGGATTATTTTTACTTAGACTAATGCAAATTGTTCTTCAAATACCCTCATTGTCAAATGTAATATTCCATTGTATGCGTCATATTCAAGCCATTACTAGCTGAAAGTTGTATAAAAGCATTACTAGACAAAGGAATTAATCTACTATCCAGATCCAATTCTTTAGGGTTCTCAAGTGGCCTCGAAATTCACAGCTGAATTTATCTACATCTGAAAAATAGCAAAGTGTTTTCGTGTAGCCAATAGGGCTAGATACTGTAAAAAATCCTTGACAACTACCACTCTGAATATGTCATAATATGGTTACCTGAACTCGAATAAGATGAGAGTTTCGTCATTCTTTGGTATAGTATGGTTAATTTGACCTAAATATATTTTACAAAATTCTACAAAATAATTTCTTCACAATCTGGTTATGATGATAAGATTTCACTGCGATCGATCAGAACCTTAATCTAGTGGTGATAGGTCGAAACTCTTATCATAGAAAAATCTCTATATTTAAAGCTACGAAAATTCATACAATTCTTTCCCATTGGCGAATTTAGGACGAGGGTCAGGGGGTCTGTACCCCGATTCCTTCGTGAATACACCCATAGAAAGAAACATCGTCCCCAATGAATACACCCAAAACTTGTCTACGACTTGTTGGGTATGAAACAGGCTAGTATGTAGTTAAGCTTACAGGAAAGTTATGTGTGACTCCAAGTTAGGAGAGAGGTAAGTAAAAAATAATTAATAAATGCTTCTCCTCTTTTTTTGAGGAGATTTTCGGGGATAATGAAACAAATACTTTAAATTAAACATAGCGGGGTTAAGAAATTCGACTGCCAGGAGGTAAACTAGTTGGTTATACAGCTGTTATAAAGCGAGCCAAAGGATTTGCACTCGAGACTACCGAGAACAAATCCAGCTAGCGGTCAGGAAGGGACTTGAACTCTTTGCCACCAAAGTGCAAGTCCAACGCTCTTGTGGCCACTCGACTACGCTACCTGTCTTTGAAAAAGTTTCAAAACAGCAGAGGATTTTGGTACAACATAGTTGCTTCTTTAGGATTTGATGGAGCCGAAACCAAAGATGGAATTTCGCGCATTTTAGGAATCCTACTGATGAGCGGTTACGACAGTTAAATATTAGAGGAACAATAATGGTTTATAGTCACAGTCCCCTATCAGTTATATTAAGGACCCGTTAATTACAAGGCTGATACCCGACTCTGCCCCTTAGTGTTCAAATTCAGGATGTTCGACTGTTCTTGTGATTGAAATACAAGAAATACGGAAAAATTAAGTTAACCGAGAACTCAGCCATTTTTTTTGCTCAAGTACCGAGCCTTTTTCTTTCGTTCCTTTAGAGATGGACTCTCAACTGAGTCGTACAAAGTCAGCCTTTTGGAAGCAGAAATTAACTGAGATACGAAAGAATCCGGAGACGAATTCCGCACCATGTCACGAACAAATTTTGCAACATTTAGATTGTTCTCCCTGTTGGAGGGATTAAGATTAGTGTCATTTTGGCGTTCTTGGGCATTAGTGTCTGCAGTCTTCTGCGTCAAGCAGCTGGCCATTGTTGAAGCACGTGGACTGACCATAGGAATCGACTCAAAAACGTCATCACACTCATTCTCAATGGAACAAGTCTCACTACGTGGCGCTAATTCGGATCCACCACTCTCTGTTTTCAAAAACCGCACTCGTCTTTTTTGAGGATGAACATTTTTGTTTTTCACAACGCCACTCGGGTCTCTTACTGGATTCTCCTCTGGCAGTGCATGCGCAGTCCAAGGGAAAGCAGGCACCATCTTCGCTGGGGCTGACTGTGGTTGACTTTTAAGTGGGGGTAACTTTGGGTATGTGCGTCTTGGCACAGGCGACGAGTTGGTGACACATAAATTTCTTTTTCCATGGCGCATAGGAGGAAGAGTAGACTTACTAGTTTCACGTAATGAAGCTTCTTTGTAGTTCACTGCTTTCATTTCTTTTCCATTGCTTCCCTGCAAGTTTGGCATCTTTAGTGACGCTGTTTCCCTTTGCCTACTAACCGGTGGTCGCAAAAAGTCTCTTTTCCACTTTTTCGACAAAGAAACTCCTCTTGTCACCTCATCCTGTTGATCTTTAACTGACTTTCTGCATAAGCTGGACATCTTTGTAGCGCCTGACCGTCGAGTTTGTGTCAAAGGAAATGGATCCTCTAAGTCTTCTCTGCCTTTCCTTTCTCTTCCTTCCAGTGACCTCTGAGCAGCTTTTGGAATGACTGAATTTCTTTTATGACCAGTTCCTTCTCGAACAGTAGGCCACTGGAAAGTACATGGCGGCTGTACAGGGGCTGACATTGATTGTTGAGGCGACGGGAAAGCAATAGCCAATGAATTATTAGAAGGTAATGGGGCAGAGTTTGTAAAAGACACAAGCTTTCTGCCTCGGCGTGGATGAATAACTGTCACCTTTTCACCTGCCACCTTTTCACTTGCCGTAACAGCGCGTGGTGGTTTGCTTTTCACTGGAGGTAATGGGGAATGTCTTACCACGGCTTCGGTGGTTACTGATGTCTGTGTCGCCTTCGTCTGTTGTTTTACACATTGGAAGTGGGTAGCACTCTCACTCCCTCCTTCAACAGTGTTCGGGATTTGCTGATTGTTCTGCCGTTCCATCACAACGATTAAGGTGGTAAAGATTGTCAGAATATCGTTTAAGAAACCCATACGAGATCTTCAATAGATATTATACATTCCTATCCAATCAAAATTTAAACCTCGACAGGTAAAAGACACAGCGTCAACCAATGATGGGTACGTTTTTGAGGAACGTGCTCAGTTGCAAACCCATAAAGAGAAAACAAAAGAACCGTCAACCAATCATGTCACAGCCTCGTTACAGGTGTGTCTAACCACCGGAATGTAACGTTTTTTAAGCTGACCTTGACGGCGGAACATATCAAAGCCACGCCCTGGATTGAAAATGCGAATCGTCCAGATAGAAAAATTTCGTAATAAAAATTGCGCAATAGCCAGCTATCTGACGCAATAAAACCACGAAAGTTGGCAAAGGTATTTCACAATCTCCTTTTAACCTGAAATTGACGAATGCAAGTATCAATGGAAAAAGGTCATTTCAAACCGACAAATTTAAAACAAAAGGCGCACCGTTAACCAATCATGGTAAGCCCAGTAAAGGGCGTGTCCAGTCGGCTTTTTGCAAAAGTGACACGAAACCCAACAAGGCGCAAAAGAGGCCGTCAACCAATGATATCAGAGCCTCTTTCCAGGCGTTTCCAGCCGGTGGAAGCTAGAAGGATTTCGCAAGCTTGTTGGCGGAACAGATCAAAGCCACGCCCTAGATTAACAGTTGTACCACGTGATACTTCACAATTGTTTCCTTGCGAATCATTTTAGTTTGAGCAACAAAAATCGCGCAGTT